GCGCGCCCACCCGCTGGAGGGTCTGTGCTGGGCGGTGTGTGCGCTTGTGTGACCCCTCGCGAATGCTCCTCGTGACTGTCACTGTAGATCCCCTGTGGGTTTACGAGGAGGACGACGAGGACGAGGAGGAGGATGAGGAGGAGGAGGAGGAGGAGGAGGAGGAGGAGGAGGAGAAGGAGGAAGGGGAGGAGGAGGAGGAGGAGGAAGAGCAGGAGGAGGAGGGAGGAGGAGGGTGGATCCAGCTTATCCAAGCTTTGTGAGCTGGACCGGCCCGAGCGCCCCCGCTTCCGCTTGCCTTGCCCTAACGTCGCGCTGCCGCGCGCGTGGCCGCGGCGCCAAAAGTGTGCTGGTTTGTCTTTGCGTTGGGTTGGGCTCGGTTGTCGCCTCTTGTTTCTCTCTCCGGCAGGAGCCTGGGATACTGCCGTGACGTTCATTCAGGATCACAGAAATTGAGGTGCGGCATCAACCAGGCACGACGACGCCGACTACGATGATCCCTCTTCCTCTTCCTTCCTTCCTTTCTCCATGCCTTCACGCAATTTCTGGGTGTCTGGCAGCATGCACGTTTTCCGCACAACAGAACATACCGTACATATGCTTATGTGTATGTGCACATATATATATATATATATATATATATATTTGTATATGCATATGTATTTGTAGATGTAATTATAGCTGTATGTGCAGATATTTATGTACATACACAAGTAAACGTATATGTATGTGTATATGTATGTGCATATGCATATGTATTTGTTTATACAACTGTATATATATATAAATAGCTATATATACATATACAGCTATATGTATACACGTATATATATACGTATATGTATGTGTGTACGTGTATGTGTATGTATATGTGTATATGTATATGTTTGTGTATACTATAGTTATAGTTATATGTATATGTATTTGCATATGTATATATATATATATATATATATATGTGTATGCGTATATGTATATGTATATGTATATGTATATCCATATGTGTATGAATATGTGTATGTATTTGTATATGCATATATACATGTATATGTATAGGTATATATATATATATGTAGGTATGTGTATATGTATAGGTATGTGTACATGTATTTGTAGATTGACATACCCATATTGCGAAGGCCTGACGGCCGGTGCCGCCGACCCTGTTCGCAATGCGCAGCAAGAGATTACGAGGTTGCTCAAGGTCGGCTTGGCTGGAGCCCAGGGGAAGAGGAGTCCCAGGGGGGGGCGTCGTATCTGACCCGGGGGGGGGGTCGCTACCCCCCCCCCCCTCCCGGCGGGGGAGGGATCAAAGGGAAGGGGCTTCCCTTCGACTCAATTACGAGGTTGCTCAAGGTCGGCTTGGCTGGAGCCCAGGGGAAGAGGAGGGGGGCGTCGTATCTGACCCGGGGGGGGGGTCGACAACCCCCCCCCCTCCCGGCTGACCAAGGGGATCCCAGGGGGGGGCGTCGTACCCTGGCGGGGGAGGGATCAAAGGGAAGGGGCTTCCCTTCGACTCAATTACGAGGTTGCTCAAGGTCGGCTTGGCTGGAGCCCAGGGGAAGAGGAGTCCCAGGGGGGGGCGTCGTATCTGACCCGGGGGGGGGGTCGCTACCCCCCCCCCCTCCCGGCGGGGGAGGGATCAAAGGGAAGGGGCTTCCCTTCGACTCAATTACGAGGTTGCTCAAGGTCGGCTTGGCTGGAGCCCAGGGGAAGAGGAGTCCCAGGGGGGGGCGTCGTATCTGACCCGGGGGGGGGGTCGACACCCCCCCCCCCCTCCCGGCGGGGGAGGGATCAAAGGGAAGGGGCTTCCCTTCGACTCAATTACGAGGTTGCTCAAGGTCGGCTTGGCTGGAGCCCAGGGGTTGCTCAAGGTCGGCTTGGCTGGAGCCCAGGGGAAGAGGAGTCCCAGGGGGGGGCGTCGTATCTGACCCGGGGGGGGGGTCGCTACCCCCCCCCCCCTCCCGGCGGGGGAGGGATCAAAGGGAAGGGGCTTCCCTTCGACTCAATTACGAGGTTGCTCAAGGTCGGCTTGGCTGGAGCCCAGGGGAAGAGGTCTCCCAGGGAAAGGGAAGGACAGAGACGACGAGTACAAAGAATGACGGAGATGACGGCTCGAACGGAAAAACCCCTCACACACGCCGACAGGGTCGGCGGATTTTTCATTCTATATAGTATGTGTATATGATCGATCATGTGTCGAGGGTGCACAGACCCCCCATATGGGACTGGACGCAGGGTTGCACAGGCCCACATCCCACTCAGATAGGTTGGGGGGGTCGACGACGACGACGAGGATGACGGCGGACGAGGACGAGGACGAGGACGAGGTCGAGAACGAGGGCGAGGACGAGGGACGAGGACGAGGATGAGGACGAAGACGAGACGAGGACGAGGGCGAGTGCGAGGGCGAGGGCGGCGGCTAGGGCTAGTGCGAGGGCGAGGGCGAGGACGAGGACGAGGACGAGGACGAGGACGAGGACGTCGACGGCGACGGCGAACAACGACAACGATCACGAACCACTCCACGCCCATGCACCAGCACCCGCCCCTACGCCACGCCCACAAAGCAATGACCACAGGGACAGGTGGGCGATCTCAATCGCGACGCCGTCGCGAGGCCCACTGTTGTACCTACCCATACAGCCGGGGGGAGGGGGGGGCGCTCCCACTATTGCATTGGGGGGAGGGGGGCAGCCCTGAAACACACACAGTTCATATACAACAAGGTATACATATGTATGTGTAGGTATGCATGCAGGCATGCATGCATGTACATATGCATGTATGTGCGTAGGTATGTATGTATGTAAGTATGGTATCATGCATGTATGTATGCATTTGTGTTTGTACGTATGCTTGTATATGTATGCATATATATATACATATGTATTTTTGAATGCATGTATGTATATAGATATACATGCGTGCATACATTCCTGCATATGTATATATATATGCACGTATGTGTGTATGCATGTATGTATGCCTGTACATATGCAGTACAATCTACTATATTGTACTGCGATGTTCTGTAGTGTAATGCAATTTAATAATGTAGTGTAGTGTACGGTGCTGTATGCATGTATGCATCCATGTATGTAGGTGTGTATGTATGCATGTATGTATGTATGTATGTATGTATGTATGTATGTATGTATGTATGTATGTATGTGTATATATATGTGTGTATGCATGTGTGTAGTATGTATGTATGCATGCATGCATGTATACCTATATATATACGTATATACACATGAATGTATGTATCCATGCATATATGCATGCATTAATGTATGTATGCAGGTATGTATGCATGCATGCATGCATGCATGCATGCATGTATGTACGTATGTATGTATGTATGTATGCATGTATGTATGTATGTATATATGAATGTATGTATGTATGTATGTATGTATGTATGTATGTATGTATGTATGTATGTATGTATGTATGTATGTATGTATGTGTGTGTGTATGCATGAAAGCATGCATGCATGCAGGTAGGTAGGTAGGTAGGTAGGTAGGTAGGTAGGTATGCATGTATGTATGTATGTATGCATGTAGGTATGTGCATATATGCAGCTATACTTATCTATCGTATATACACAGGTCTCTGGCGCTTGCGGAGCAGGGTCTGGAGCGCTCCTGTAGGGCCCCAAGACGGCCCCAGAGTGCCCCAACAGGGCCCAAAGACGGACCGAGAGGGTTTCAAGAGGTTTTTCAGACGCTTCGAGAGGGCCCCGGGTCGCCGAGCGATCGATCCGAGACGCTCCAGATGGTTCCCAGACGGCCTAAGATGCCTCCAAGACGCCCCAAGAGGCCTTCAAGAGCCCTCAGATCCTTTCCGAGTGGGCTTCAAGAGGCACAAATCGCACCAGTCTTTGGGGAAACATTGTTTTTGTTAAGCATATTCGACTTTTCTCGGCCTTCACGGCATCATTGACGGCCCAAGAGGCCCCAAAGACGACCCCGAGACGCCACTAGAGGGCCCCAAGACAGCCCAAGAAACGCCCACGACGGCCCACGAGGGCCTTCAGGGCTTACGGAGGGGTCCAGGATGGGGAACTCGACTTGAGATTTCGAGCCCTCCGCCCCAAAGGGGGCGCCCCCGAGACCGCCAGCAGGCCCCCAAGAGGCCCCAAGAGGCCGCCCAAGGGCACCAAAGCGGCCCACAACGGCTCCCGAAAGGCTTCCGAAAGGCCCCCAAAGGCCTCCTGACAGGCCTCACTAGCTCTGACCTCGAAACCCGCAAACGACCGCGCACCATAGCCATCCCAGCCCAAGCACATACCGAACCGAGGCACCAATTCTGACGGCGACGGTCAGAAATTCAATATGCAAACATTTACAGATGTATAAACACATATATATATATATATAGGTTTGCATATGCATACTTGTAACATAGACATATGCGTACGCATACATATACATGTACATACACATTTACATTTACATTTACATATACATATACATATACATATACATATACATATGCATATACATATACACATACATATACATATACACATACATATACATATACATATACATATACATGTACATATACATATACATATACATATACATAAACATACATATACAAATACACAAACATATACATATGCATATACACATACATATACATATACACATATACACATATACATATATATATATATACATATATATGTATACATATATATGTATACATATATATATGTATTTATGTATGCGTATATGTATATGTACATATACTACACATGTTTTCCTATGGTGTTGTGTAATTATCTAGTACATACTTCTATCATACATGTGGATTGTTGTATAGTATTTGTTTATTGAGGCGACGGCCTCGCCCGACTAGCCTTAGATGGGCCCGGAGGGTGCTCTGCAATGGTGACTCGCTCGCCATGCTCGCCTGTATTCGCAGCTCGGTGGTCAGTCCTGTCCTGCCGTCGCTGGAACTTTCTAGGCTGTGCACGTGTCCACAGAGG